CAGGCGAGAGAGCGGGCCTGGAGAATTGGTCAGAATAAGCAAGTAACCGTCTACAGACTCCTAACTGCAGGCACCATTGAGGAGAAAATTTACCACAGGTTAGACACTGCCATTCTTTTTCGGATTAATCAATTGCCGTTTGGCTTTTGTGCTAATGAACACGCTTGAATGTAACACATTTCTGTTTGCACCATACAGGCAAATTTTTAAACAGTTTCTGACCAACCGTGTCCTGAAGGACCCCAAACAACGCCGCTTCTTCAAGTCCAACGACATTTATGAACTTTTCACCTTAGTTGACCCTGATGAGAAGCAGGGCACAGAGACCAGTGCAATATTTGCCGGTATGCATCGTTTTGTGCGTCAGCAGAAGGAGGTTACAACAGATTCCCTGAACACATTTTTTTTTCTCCCCTGCATTCGTTATAGGTACCGGCTCTGATGTCAAGGCACCTCAAAAATCCGACAGAACGCACCATAGTAAACACTCCAAACCTCAGCCAAATGAAATATATGCGAACAATATGCATTCCTTATTAAACATCTCCGAATCTACATGCACATTATCTCAGGGTACTATAAATGGTACCACGAATGCACAAAATCATCCAAACGGCACGGATGCAGAGCCGCATTTCTCATGTGCCCAACTAAAGATCGACACGGGCCTGAAACGTAGTGAGAAGAGGAAGCACTGCGACTCCAACAAAGCGAAGAGACACAAAAGTAAGAAGCGTAAACGTGAAAAGGACGCTCGCTTCGAGGGCCAGCGCATCTCGCACTTAGTGAAGAAGAGAGAGTACAAGAGGACGGACGCCGAAGACCAGAACAAATCTGATGATTACGTTTTGTCAAAGCTCTTCAAAAAATCTGGTACGAGCTCAGATTTATTTGACGCGTCTCGAGCTTTTCCGTGCAGATGCGTTTGACGGCCGTGTCGTCTCAGGAATCCACAGCGTGATGCAGCACGACTCCATCATCGAGTCCTCCAATCCAGACTACGTCCTGGTGGAGGCCGAAGCTGACAAGGTGGCCAAGGATGCCCTGAAAGCCCTCAAAGTGTCCCGCCAGCGGTGCAGGCTGGCCAGTAGTCGAGCCCCCCCGCCGCCCGCACGGTATGCACACTCAGTGGGACATCATGAATTCCAGACGCTTGCTCGTTATGTGACCTACCCGCCTCACTTTGTCCCGCCTTTTGCTCTCCAGGAAACGCTTTGGGCAAAAGAAGAATTTGCTCTTGGTCGGACCATCTGTGCACACGCTCCCCGATTCGAACAAATGCAAGGTAACTCGAGTCTTTTTCAGAGGGTTCATTTTTAGGGTACGGATCACTGTACCTTGAGGGCAGCCTTAGATTTTGGACCATCACAGATGCGTGATGGTCCAAAATGTTATTACCCTTTTATTTTGAAGGGTAACGTAAGATGATTTTGAAATATTTGGGGATCACACTTTGTAGTATATTTACAATTCCAACCAGTGGTTCTTAGTGTGCCACGAGTAGTCAGGCTCACTCTCGTAATACTTGGCCCAAATACAGTTCAGTTGTTTTATTTTCTTTCATTTAGGTATAGTGTTAATGTTCTATTGATTTGCAAAAATGTTATTTTCCTGGAAACTTTAGACGTTTAATGCTACTGTATTTTAATGTTAGTCATATAGTGGTGCTTTTTTTTTTTTAACATGGAACTTGGTGTAAAAGGTTTGAAAACTACTTTAACAAAACTGCCTTAGCAAAGTTAGCTATCTTAGCATCAGCACACAATGCAAAACGCCATAGACAGGCTAACACATAGTATCAATGTGTTGTTGTTATAACCCTGTCAACAACAGATTTTTGAAGAAAAATGTTGCAATAGCAGATGTAGGCTGACAATATTGTATAGCATTCACAGGCATATATTTTTTTACCTGCAGTAAAAAAAAAAAAGAATCGAGGGTTCACTAATTGCAGCCTCAGTAGCGGTTAATTGAATTTCACAATGTTAATGTGTGTGATTCTCTGTCAGGATGCCGCTATCATAACAAAGACACAGTCAAAGAAGCTTGATTCAGGGGCTCATTTCAGCGGGGAAGTAGCCGAAAGTGATTTGAGCTCAGCCCCTCCCTCCTCATGCACACTGCTGGCCCGCATGAGAGAGCGCAACCACCTCAGCCTTCCCTCCCGGAACCAAAGAGAGGAACAAGAAGACAACGAGGGAGAAGATGACGGGGCCGGCAGCTCGCGTCCTGCTCCGAGCACCGAGTTCGACGAGCTGCTGGCAGACCTCCGCAACTTTGTGGCCTTCCAGGCGCGAGTGGACGGGCAGGCCAGCACGCAGGAATTGCTGGAGTACTTCACACCCAGACTGAGCATCAAGCAGTCGCCCGTCTTCCGAGAACTGCTCAGGAGCATCTGCGACTTCCAGCGCGATTCTGGAGAGGAGGGCCTGTGGAGGCTCAAGGAGAACTTGCGCTGAAGTTAAGACAACGGCAACCTCCTCAAATATTCCCATACAGTGGAACCTCAAAAAAGTTGACCATAATCCTCTATGAGACGTTTCAAGGCATAATAGTCACCAAATGCTCAGCTGCATTCCTAACTAGATGCGTTGTTCATATTTGGATATTGTACTGTACCTTTTATACTGTTTTTTTTTTTTTCCTTAACTAGTTTGACACACCTCAAAGTCATCCACTTATCACAGACTTTTTGTATGCAAAATTGCAATGCAACAAAGTGGACAACATCATCTCAGTCAATCATCCTCAACTCCTGTACAATGTGCGGAATCCACTCCAGTGCCTGTTTGAGCACTTCTGCCTATTGTCTCATTTATTCTATTTATCTGCTCGTTCTTCTTGAATTGAAGCGCTTTTAATACTGTCAGTTTACCTCAAATGTTCAGCGTAATGGTGAATATGTGCTTTTATGATCCCAACTCGTCAAGTGTCATAATTTTACAAAGAAATGGAATGTGCAATAATAAACCTTTTCAATAAGCTCGGTTATTTTGCTCATGGTTTGTTTTTACTGGACGGTTGAACACAATCTAGTACTGCTTGACATCCGATGTTTTAAAAACGCTTGGAAAAAATAAAAAAGTAAAACTACTCATTTGAACACGGTATGGATCAAGAAAAGGATTGCGTGATGCTGTCACCCGCTGGCATTTTATAAGTATTGCTGTAATTAATGTTTATCACTAGCCTCATAATAGCCAATTTTTGTATTTTGTTGTTGTTTTTTTTTTTTAAATGTAGGTTCTTAGTCATCCAGAACATGCTAATCCACAAAAGGTTTTATTGAGGCAACTGGACTTGTTTTTTATTTTCTGATTTTATTTATTTTTAGGTGACTTGGGCAATTATACTTTTACGCTAATGTTTGTGAGCATTTCCTTGATTTATCTGATGAATGAACAGCTCACGTTGCACTGTTGGAATAAGTTCTATTTCCTGTTCTATGGTTATATTTTTTTCCTCTGGCATCAATTTGAGCAGTTGTGGTGGTATCACAAACAAAACAAAAAACCTCTTAAATGTGGCAATGTACAGAACATACTGTTTGCACACCAAATGGCACCACTTTGGGGAATTTGAAACTTCCACTGCATGCTATTAATATATTTGGAAGTACCTCATGTTGCAATATAAGAACTTCTGATTATGTGACTTTCAAGTGCGCTCACTATATTGTATTTTATTTTTGTGCATGACCAGATGTCCAAATGTACAGCCAATGTTTCAGGTGCTTTTAATTTATGAAGACAGACAGACTTTAAGCTGTTCGACTTTCCTCTTGAATGTTTGTGTGGTTTTTTTCAAGGAGCACGAGAATAAGCTCCACAAGCACTTGAGGCCTCCTCAAGTCTTCAGGAGCAAATATTGGGCTAAAGTTATTTGATTTCAATTTTCTGCACGCACCCCACCATGCAGGTCATAATAACAACTTTATTTTCAGCGGTGCATAAATTAATTACGCGCATTTAATAACTAAAATATCATTATATTCCCCCTTTAATAACATAAACGCCGCACGCCGGGGAAAGCCTTAATAGCGCGGGGCCGTGTAACTGGCCATTATCCGCCTGTAATGATATTACAGAACCAATTACGCGCCATTAGAAGGGATTTGGTGCACTTTATGTGCTTTGCGCTCCTCTTGGAAATTTCTGCAGCCTCATTTTGCGAGCGCCTCGCAAAAGGCGCGCGGGCGTCGTCCCGCATGTGCTTTAAAACTAATTGAAAGGCTCCCGCAGCACGTCATTCATCTCGGCCCGCCTAATAAATCGCGGGACCCCTTGCTGTGAACAAAATCAAAAATTTGGCCTTGCGAGTGTTGCGGAAGCGCAAGCCCTTGTAAAGTGGACCCTTAACACACCCCCGACGTGCAATTAACACCCCAAAAACTCGCTGCTTTTTTTTCTTTTTTAATATATGAACGAAATCAAAAAGTTCCGTTGGCATGTGCGCGTGTTTATGGTTTGGGAATAAGCGTGTTCTGCACTTTGGCTCACACACACACACACACACACACACACACACACACACACACACACACACACACACACGCACCCAAGGAGGGGTGAGCGAGACAAACATAATCCGATTAGGAGCAATTAGCCGTGAGATTGTGCGACACCAGATGAAAACCTTCCCGCGGTCTGCTACCCACGGCCCGTGGGCCATATGCGATCCTCCAAGCAAATGTAAAATAACATCTAAAAAAAAAAAAAGAACAAATTATGACTAAAACACACAAATGGTCATCATTTGTAACCATTTGCTTTCATTATTTGTCATGATTTTAGCACGCCCCCCGAGGACATTTAATGCCCCGAAAAGGTTGACATCATGGACACTCCCCGAGGTGTGTGTGTGTGTGCGTGTATGTGTCAGAGAAAGAGAGAGAAATGAGAGAGAGAGAGAGTAGGGGGGACAAGTGGAACCTCCCAGTCAGAGTCCAACCTTTCTTCCCTCCAGAGCAGCATCTCCTCTATCACGCACACACATACACACATACACGCACACACACGCTGTACGCACGCGCACAGGCAGTGCAGTTGTGAGAGGATGCTCCCGCAGCCCACTTCCCAACTTTGACGTCCATGTCGTGTGTGTTGCGATCGGAGCAGGGATTGTTCTTACTTGTTCGATTGTAAAGTGAAACTCTTGGCAGGATGTTTTACTTCCACTGTCCTCCGCAACTCGACGCCGAGTGCTGTCGCTCCAATACACGTAAGTACATTTTTAAAAAAAGTGTGAGTGTGAAGCATGAAAAATGGGTCTGTCTGTCACTTAGTGTGAGATATTTAGTGCACTTGGTGTGACTTTCTTTCCATGTTCCTGTTACGTTTTTGTTGTGCATGCTTTGCGCTCTGGCGAAATAGAAAATGAAAGAGGATTTTACAGTTAAATGTTGGTGGTTGGGGCCCTGGGAGCGGCTTTCATCGTCGGAGATTTCTTTCACAGGGACGGATGTTGTGAGGCTGACTTTGGTTTCAAAATCCTTCATGACTCCCCTCAGACTCCAAAACAACGTCAAAGTTTCATTATGTAACTAAAGGCCAAAATCAATCGAGCAATGTTTGCTGTTGCACATTTTGCACTCAGAATTTATATTTTTCTCGAAAGGAAAAATAAATCATTGCAAATTCTTGTGATTTTTTTTTTAAATTTCCAAAACGGACATTTAAAACACAAGTATGTGATTTACAAAGTGATTAAACATGTGGAATGTACTTTTCAGTGAATTCGAGCACTTTTGCAAACCACGCCCCAGCTGACTTTGACGATGGCTTCCTTCGTAGGAAACAGCGGAGGAACAGGACCACGTTCACTTTGCAACAGGTATTGCACATTTTCAAACTGGACACACTCCACATTCATCTGTTCACCCGTAAACCTTCGGGGAATGCATACATATACTCTATTTTCTTATTGTAATATTCCAACCTTACTGTTTATTTGAATTACATTATTTGTCGTTTCATTTTATGATTTGTTTATTGTTATTGAAAAACGTTTTTGCTTCGTCTTTTGCTTTGTTTTCTTCATCTTGTTGAGGACGTGGTGTTGTTTTTTCACAAATGTGCACATCGTCAAGTATCGCTGCTTGCTCCATTTGTGGTGCAGTTGTTAAAAATGAAAATCCTGGTGGGGGTGGGGAATCATATTTAAGATCATAATCATGCTAATAAATCCAAACTTGGCAGAAAGTTGCTTTCTATACGTGAAGTGCGAAGTAAAAAGCTTATATATATATATATATATATGTGTGTGTGTGTGTGTGTGTGTGTGTGTGTGTGTGTGTGTGTGTGTGAAAGATAAGCTGTGTCTATGTTAAATATAGATGTGTAGATATTAAAAACCTTAAATATTTATTTTATTAACACAAATCAATAATAACATGCATACATGAATTGTTTTCATCATACATAAATTGTATTTATTCAAAATAATGTGAAAATGATATGTACCATATTTTCACATATTTCTTTTGCATTGCACTTATTTTTTCTGTGTGGCTTTTTATTTTAAAATGTAAGCATGGTTCCTGTTGATAGATAGATGTGTATGCATTCATATTCATATTAATTATTATATATTTAAATTATGTACTACTGATTGTGGCGTGTGTGTGTGTGTGTGTGTGTGTGTGTGTGTGTGTGTGTGTGTGTGTGTGTGTGTGTGTGTGTGTGTGTG